CCAGGAGCACACCAAAATGAGAAATTAACTTTGAGTCTCAATACCTGTCATAAGACATAGGCTCCTTGTTGTTATCTGACATTTCCATGAATTTCAACAAGCAAAATTATGGTAATACCAGGAAGTAGAATTCCACAGTTGTTGCTAGCTAAAGATCTGTCTCAGGCACAGAGAACGCGGTACTCTCCAGATGTTGCTAGACTATAACTCCCAGTACCCCTGACCATTAGCTGTGCTGGCTAGAGCTGATAAACATCTGGAGAACACTACATTTCCCACCCCAGTTGCTATCTGCAACATGGTCAAAATACACCCCTTTTAAAAAGTTTAATAGTAATCTCCTTCAAAATTATTATTTATTAAATTTGTATACCGTCCTTTATCTGTAGATTTCAGGGCAGTTCACAACATAAATACAAGATAAAAGACACAACATACATAATAAAAACTAGAACAAAAACAACAACCTAATAACCCTTAAATATGGCTGCATTCAGACAGCATTTTATTTTTCCTGATATTTCATTACCAGATAATTTTATCTTATGTGATCTTTCACATGACAGAAAAGCCACTTCTCAATATCTAGTGGAATCTAGCAGAAGTTTAGCATTTCTTTCCATTAAGTACTAGAAAAATCCATTTGCAACTCCATTAATCCAGAAAATTATGGGTGTTTTACATTGTATTCTTCCAGTAATTTTCATGGATCACACCACCACTGCTCACAGGGCAAAAATTGAGGTTGTATTCCAGCATACAGTTATTTCATGGGGGAGCAGAACCACCCATGACATGTCCAGTAACATCCGCTCTTGGTGTTGGCAGTAACTGGAAACAGCAAACATAGTGCGGTGGAGATGGTGGTGGGAAAGGAAAGGGAAGAGATGGAGGCTCAGCAAGTCTGACAAGGCCCATGGACAGCCTATAAGAAACAAAGATCCCTCCTTTGGCTTTCTGGTGGGGTCACACTCTGGTATTATGTCACATACTGATTCACAGGAGCACAGAGAGAGGTAGGGGTGTGTGTGTGTGTGTGTGTGTGTGTGTGTGTAGTTCCACTCCTGAAACAGGACTTCCCCTTCCTCCCACTTGTTGTTGTTTAGTCGTTTAGTCGTGTCCGACTTTTCGTGACCCCATGGACCAGAGCACGCCAGGCACTTCTGTCTTCCACTGTCTCCCGCAGTTTGGTCAGACTCATGTTTGTAGCTTCAAGAACACTGTCCAACCATCTCGTCCTCTGTCGTCCCCTTCTCCTTGTGCCCTCCATCTTTCCCAACATCAGGGTCTTTTCCAGGGGTCTTCTCTTCTCATGAGGTGGCCAAAGTATTGGAGCCTCAGCTTCACGATCTGTCCTTCCAGTGAGCACTCAGGGCTAATTTCCTTAAGAATGGATGCGTTTGATCTTCTTGCAGTCCATGGGACTCTCAAGAGTCTCCTCCAGCACCATAATTCAAAAGCATCAATTCTTCGGCGATCAGCCTTCTTTATGGTCCAGCTCTCACTTCCATACATGACTACTGGGAAAACCATGGCTTTAACTATACGGACCTTTGTTGGCAAGGTGATGTCTCTGCTTTTTAAGATGGTGTCTAGGTTTGCCATCGCCTTTCTCCCAAGGAGCAGGCATCTTTTAATTTCGTGACTGCTGTCACCACTACATGCTCCCACTACATGCTCTCAAATCTGCTCCAACCCTCTAGAGCAGCTTTTGAAGGTGTGCCCAAGAAGTGAACTGATGGAGAAGAAAGGAAAGAGGGCTTTAAAGAGTCTGGTGAACTGCTAATGTGTTCTATCAAAGGTGGCACAGGGAATGTGGCCAATTTGACCAGCTCTGCCCCCAGTGCACACCCTCCTGCTTGCCTCACCCCTTCCATCTGCAAGTATATGTGGCCATATTCACACCATATATTTAAAGCACCAGGATACTGCTTTAAATACTCATGGCTTCCCCCAAAGAATCCTGAGAGCTGTCGTTTGGTAAGGGTGTTGAGAGTCGTTAGAAGACCCTTATTCCCCTCCCAGAGCTTCAATTCCCGGAGTTCCCCATGTGGAGGAATTGATTTGTTAAACCACCTTGTGACTTGTAGCTCTGTGGCAGCAGTAGGGTCTCCTAAAAACTCTCAGCACCCTAATGAAGCTACAGCTCTCAGAATTATTTAGGGGAGGACATGCCTGTTTAAGGCAGGATCATATATTAATTGTGTGGTGTGAATGTGGCCTGTGAAGGCTGCCTACAGACTTTTATACCAAATGCATAGATGTGGAAGGAAGGACTAAGAGCCTAAGAAGAGCCCTGTGTGACTTGGACTGATCTAATCCAATAGCCTGTTTCTCACAGTGATCATCTAGTTTCCTATGGGAAGGTCACAAGCAGAACATGAGGACCATAGCCCTCTCCCACAGTTGTTCTTCAGTAACTGGCACTGAGAGACCTACTACCTCAGATGCAGCAGATAATATACAGCCGTTGTGATAAGCAGCCATCCAAGTTGGTGGCCATTATTCCATCTGTCTGCAGAAGCAAATTCTGTTGTTTAACATCAACTGTGTCCTGAATCGTTTATCATTTGGCATCTTTAGATTATGAGAGCAGGAGAAAAAAATTCCTTTCAAATTTCTCTGCAGCATGTACAGCTTCTCTTCACCCCACCCCTTACTTGCCTTAAAAAAACACACACACTAATGCTAAAAGGGGTGGCTCTGTGTTTCATGTGAGAATCCCATCCTATTTATACCCTTTGCATCAGCTCGGAGTAAGGATATTAAAATTAAATGCATTTCCGGCTATTAAAAAAACTAAAATCCCTTTGCCTTTCGAAAGACTTCCAAGAGGTAGACTCCTATTTTTTTTTGCAATATGTACATATGGATATTGTTTAAATTAATGTTTTTGTGGAATTTCTTCTCCCCCTCCCCCAATAATCAGAAAATACTTTTGGAAATTGTTCACTTATTTTCTGACGTTTGATTATCAGCTGAAGTCAGCCACAGTAAAATGAGAGAAGGTCCAGTGTTTATGGGTTGCTGCCACCTAAAGATGGGAAGTAATAAGGACACCCTGAAAAAAAAACCCTTAAATAGCTCTCTCTGCATTATATCATGTCCTCAACAACAAATGGCCAGCAAAGGGGTGGGGGGGCTTGCCATTGCAGTGAGGAATTGCCATAGCTTACTTATGCCTCTGCTGCCCTCCCCAAAAAAGCTGGAGTCAATGTAGCGTAAGTGTGGACATGGCATAGCCTATGTGGGCAGCCTGAAATAAGAAGCCAGGAAGAGGAAGGGAAATGGGGTTAATTTGACACTGGGGGAGTTTTTAAGATGCACGTAGGAAGGAACTAGAGAGACATGAAGAGAAATTTCTCTAGAACTGTGAATATTCCTTCTAGGTATGCAATTAGACAAGAGCTATTTTGCACCAGAGAATTGTCAAGGCTTCAGCTGTCTGGTGAAACAGAAGGCAACTGCTTTCCTCAAGCAGAAGTGGTTGGGCCTATTTTCTCACATGTGAAGCTTCTTCACAATATCACTGCCCACAACTGTTAGGTTTTTGAACTTTGAATTTGCCCGCTATTTCCCTCACGTTTCACCCTATCCAGTAATCTTTGGTGCAGATTGTGTCCCCATTCTGCTCCCAACATAACCACAATTACTAAAAGAACATAACAGATTTGTAATCGTGTGCTATGATCTTTGGCAGAGGACCAATAATTTGGTTTTTAATAATAAATCTCCTTCTTTAAGGCTGTTCTATCTTCCAGTTAACATAAGTGGCACCAGGGGCTTGAACTGGGAATCCTGCAGCTGCTAATTCCACTATTTTTGTTTGCAGTGTTGTAGGATTGGGCTTAAGCCCAAAGACAGAAATAGGGCCTTAGAAGCCTTTTCCTGAGCAAAACATTCCATGGCCTTCTTCCAATGTTGCCTTTCAGTTTAATTCCTATACCTTCTTTCTATCCATGCAGCTCTTTGCCTCAGATACTAACATGCCTGTATCCTGCATGTTTGTCCTTTGTCATACTTACCCTTATGAAAAGTTCCCTGCTTAAACAACTCAGGGTCACACCCTTGACTCCTTTCATGTTTTCCTCTAAGCAGACATCAGTTGCTTGTTGAGTTCAGTTTGTCTTTTGTTGTCAGCCCAACCTGGCTACTAACCATGTTCCCTATGGTTGACTTGGGCAGTATCTTTTGTGATAATCAGCAGCACATTTCTGGCTAAAACCTGCTTGGGGCCTGGCCCTTAAGAGTGCAAAGTGCATCATAACGCATTCTATAGCAGAGGCTATGTGTTTAAAAAGTACCGTATTTTTTGCTCTAGAAGACTCACTTTTCCCTTCCTAAAAAGTATGGGGAAATGTGTGTGTGTCTTATGGAGTGAATGCAGGCTGCGCAGCTATCCCAGAAGCCAGAACAGCAAGAGGGATTGTTGCTTTCACTGCGCAGCGATCCCTCTTGCTGTTCTGGCTTCTGAGATTCAGAATATTTTTTTTCTTGTTTTCCTCCTCCAAAAACTAGGTGCGTCTTGTGGTCTGGTGCGTCTTATAGAGCGAAAAATACGGTAATAATTAAATACTGATTTTAAAAATCAGTGCACAATATGGAGCTCTTAACAGCAGAAAGATGTTTCTGTCAGGAGGGGGAAGGTGGATTAAATATTTAATATTTAAGAATATGAAGAATTTTACAGTAAAAGACCATGTGAAAGTTATGAAATTAGCCATTTCATAACTTTCTTGTGGTCTTTTACTGTATAATTTCTTAGACTATTATTTCCAAATCCCACACCACATTGTAATATTTAAAATCAACAGCAGGTTGATTTTAGGGGAAAGGCCTGCAGGTACTCCATTTTCAAATTATCAGCTTGGTTTGCAAGTTGAACAATACAAGAGAGAGCAGCAGAAGTTAGACAATTCACTGTTCAGTTATATAAATTTGAAAGACTGGCTTAAATCACATGACTGTCCCAATTAGGGATCAGAAATGAGGTAACAGGCAGCACTATAAAGCACCGCTTTTTATTAAAGCTCAGAACCATAATGCTAAGCTTTGTACTTGGAAGTTGTGCAGTACACCTCAAGTCTGTATCTGGAACCAACTCTGATATACAAATCTTTTAATCTCTTCTCCAGGAATACACTGGAAATAATAGTTGCAGTAAATTTATATTCTGTGCAATCAGACTGTCCTGGTGAATTCTTTTTATCCAGTGATTTTGTAGGGCAGCCTTCCTAACAGTTCACATTAGGACTTCCTAATAGGTCAGGTTAGGACTTCAGTAAAAAAAACAAAAACCATGCAGGATTTCATGTTTACAGTCATATAAATAGATCTGATAATGCTGTCACATGGGGGAAGATTAGTTTCATTTTCTTGGAATAAAGAGGAGCAGGCAAAGCTCATCTCTGCTGTGGTTATAACACACCCTCTCCTGCTTTTGAAATTTATGTAATGGCAGTGCAGCCATAAGGTATTGGTTTCATCCAGTGTAGATTAAATCTAAATCAAAGGCTACAACTACATTTCCAGATCTAGTGGTAGACTAGATATAGTCTACCACTTCCTCTTACTGTACAATGTTGCAGATATTAGGCTATTAACTAGCGTTTCCCAGTATGGGAAAATATTTGAATCGCCAAGGTCCAGAAAAGAGACTCGAGTATCGTCAGTCAGTTATTAAGGACACATTTGAGGAGGTGCTGAAATAGGAACATAAGGTTAGAGAAGGGTATGTAAGACAAGAAGGCTGGTGTCCATGACAGTCAAATACTCAGTGCCATAAGCTTATTCCATAGAGTCCTGGTTTTGAACTGCAGCTTTGATTCCTGGGGTAGACACCTCTCGGGAAGTTTGCTACGTCACAGTTCCAAACTCCAGCTTAAGCAGAAAGACTACCTATCGAGTGCGAAGAGTTATTAATACAACACTAGGCACAGCTCTCTTGAATTTTTAAAGAGGCACAACACAGGAACTCTCCACTATAGTATTGTCTGTCCACAGTCATTGCATCCAAAGGAAGTGTTCAAACGCACACAACAAAAACTGTTCCGCAAACAGCTGAAAAAGAACACTCCAAGGATAAAATTGCTTCTTTCTTTTGCTGACATTCTGCCTTACATGCAGAAACTCAACAGGCTGCTTTCTCCACTGCGTTTTCTGCATTTCACGCCTGTGAATGGAGCCTGGAGATAATTCAGAACCAATAAGGGAGGGTATACAAAAGATCCATTTATTTGGTGGATAGAACATTAATATATAGAAAAAGCTATAGCTAGAGTTTCTCTTAGACCTTCTGGCCTTCCTCTTAGCCTATATCCCCACAATCATTTTAGTCCTTAGCAATTAATTCCACATCTTTAACCATTAAACTCAGTGTTTTTCTTCTAGAAAAAAAGGTGCTGGTACTCACCATGAAGTTTTTACAGTAAGTGCCACAGTTTTAACCAATGCTTTTCTGGGGGGGGGGGGGGTGCCGGTACTGTGTACCCTTGAGGGGGGAAAAGCACTGATGAAATTGTAAGACTAGAGAATTAGGATGAAGTGTGCATATTTACATAATTTGCCTGACATTCTGAGCACATAATCCAAATTTCATTGAAGCAAAATATAAAGGGTTTCTTTTGGTTTTAAGAGTAGATACAGTTTAATCAAACCGTAAGTCTCTAAATACTGGAAAATCATAATGGCAATTCTACTTCATAGCCCAATGGAAAGGCACTGTGGATAGAAACTTGGAATCAGATGTAGGAAACCAAGGTACTAATCCCAGAATTTCTCTACTTCATTGCCTCTCTTGTAAATATAGATAGATGATAGATAGATAGATAGATAGATAGATAGATAGATAGTAATCTAGATTAAAAGTGGCCAAGGACTACTTATTGTGAATCTCTTGGTTGTAAAAACCAGCATTTCTCGTCAAAACAAAAAGAAGAGCTAAACAGGAAAGCACTTCACCCCAATTTCCTTGCATTTTCAAGGGGAATCTGCATTTGAAACACACATTTCCAGCTTAATTTGTGACACGTGTTTGGTTTCTAAACACAAGCCCCAAATGAGAAGCAATTCTAAATCTTAAAAAACCCCACAAATCTAACCACAATCCACCCACTTTTCTGTCTAGCATTTATTAAGTCAATACTGATAATGCCAAGAAAGACTTATAGTTAAAATATATCAGTATTGTACAGCCAAATGTTAATCCCAATTTAGTGACTATAATACAAGGAATCATAGAATTGGGAGGAACTCCGAGGATTGTCTCGTCCAACCCCCTGCAAAGCAGGCATCTCAACAAATATGTATGCTTTAGTCTCACTAATGACAGCGGCATGCATGGGGCACCTGAAACTACTGTAGGAAAAATTAAATTAGACACACTTCATTCATATTAACATTTTATTAGTGAGTTTCTTCCAGCACAGTCTTAAGAGTTACTATCCTTTTAAATGAGTTAGCAAGCCAACTCTGAGTGGCAAAACAAAGTATGAAACACTGCCAACTCCCCCCGCAAAACACAGAAATAATGGCTGAATAACCTTAGGAACTGTCTGCTTTCTGGAAATAAATGCTTAACTTGCTAAATAAACTAAAACTGCCCCATGCTGAAGAAACCAAAGCAGCGGGAGAATAATTCTTTCGTCTCTTTCTTTGGCATTTCTACCTAAACCTGTTAACAAAGTCATTTTGTTAACAGGAGAGTGGCTGGTTTGGACAAAACACTAAATTAGTCCTTCCCCTTGTTCTCTGGTGTGGCTGTGAGGGGGAGTTGGTTATCATAACTAGTGGTTATCATTAATGAATACAAACAAGCTTGAACCCTAAACTGTGCTTAATCTAAAACAGAAGCTTTCAATTTTTTCCTCACCATCACACTGGAGAAGGAGAAGAGAGCACACAAGCCCAGGAGGAGTCTAGGCTCATTTTTAAAGCACTAAACCAGGGATAGAGAACATGTGGTCCTCCAGACATTTTTGGACTCCCCAGCCAGCATGGCAAATGATCAGTGATGATTCAAGTTGTAGGCCAATAGCTGGAGGGCCACAGTTTCACCGTCCTGAACTAAACCATAGTTTAGTGTTACATCCAAACATAACCAGTGTCTGATTTCTCATTCTATAAATACTGGCAAGGTACTCCAAGAGAAGACTGTAAAAACCCAAAGGGAAAAAGGATGATCATATCACATTAAAAACAACAACAACACTGGGCTGGAACATGAATTGCCAATACAGGCATCTACTGATGCTTATCAGATGTTTGTTATACCCCATGTATCAAGCCTCTGCTTTGCTGCCAGTTGGGGATCCATGCAAGTTCCCCACGTGTGAAATTAATTTCTTAATGCCTTGTGTGGAGCAGTCCTGAAATTGGGCCCTAGGGTGTGAAGAATAATAGGGGCATGTGCTAAAAAACAAAACAAAACCTTACATAATGCTTCTTAAAGCATTAGCCTATTCATACCTCTGCCCTACTGTTACAGCTCAGACTGAGACTGATAAGGCATTCCTGCACCATTAAACAATATATCTTGACAGGATAGTGTCTTTCTTCACTAGTGACATGACAGGCCTAGTCTCCAAAATGCTCTTGTTGTCACACCACTATTTTAAAACTCTAGAAAAATGTTTAGGTCACAAGGTGGAAACCTTTAGCTGTTGTATTTCCTTATGCATGTGTGAAATATTATGTGATAATTACACTCATATATGAAGGTCTGCCCAGTCTATCAGCTAATAGGATTGTGTGCTCAGTCCATAATTCAGTGATGGGGAAACCTGTGACCCACCAGGTATTGATGGGTTGTAACTCCTATCATCCCTGACCATTCACCACACTAGTTGGAGTTGACGGAAGCTGGAGCCCAACAACATCTCATATTTGACTACTGAAAGGATTCCACTGAAAGTCAAGACACCCAGAAAAAGTATCAACAATAATCTGTATAAATGTATTCAAAGCCCTAAATTAACTTTATTGGTACAATACTGGGACTCAGATGGTGATTCAAACACAAGTAAATTAAATAATTACTCTGCCTCTCACCAACAAACCTGGAAGTGTTATATTTTAAAATGATAAATCAAGAAAAATATTAAACACGTTAACAGCAATAAGCCATATTTCAAGTTCTTTTGCAACATCTGATATTTAGGCACCTGTTTTCAAAAGCACTACATCGGCCCTCACTTGATTTTAGTGATAGAATTTTTTGTACTTATTGAAAAGATGTCTTCAATATCTGAATAGACAAAGACACTTCTTTCCATGGAAAAAAATGGAGCACTCACTCTGAACAAGGCTACAGAATAAATATGCAGAATGAGCAATATGGGAAGTATAACCACACTGTCAGTTCCTCCCTTCCAAGGGATTGTAGAAACTGTAACCTTGTACTGAAGTTGGAGAAATCTTAAAATTCTTAGCAGCCTCTCAAAATTACAGTCCATTGTTTTCTCTATGGAATGCCACACAGTTAAACCAGTTTAAAATGGTTTTACTTGCATAGTACAGTGGTAAGCCGAGTTAAAATCAGGTACCAAGTAGCAGCAGCCATACTCGGATATAGATACATAGAAAAGCTATCCTTGAAGTCTCAACATTATAACAATCTCTGACCACACTTCAAAAATAAGTATTCGATGTATTACATGACATAGGTTATGTTCAGGTGCCACAATAATTGTTTATTGTGACAGGAAGGAGCCAAGTCCCTGCTCCTCACATGACTCTTACATTAAGGAGATGCTTACTCTGCCAGGTTACTTTTGTAGGTAGTACCCCAGATCAATCACCTCTGCCAAGAATCTTAAACTATTCCAAAAATCACAACGTAGTACCTACTCATGAATGAGGTAACTGCAAAGCTTCTTCTCTGCACGACGGCTATCAATTTCATCAGCCCATGAACAGTTCATTAAAGAAAGCATTGTATCATAGCCAAAACGGGCAACTAGGAATCTCCTTCCTAGGGAGTACTGGCTGATAAGAGATAACAAACACTGCATAGCAACTAACAGAATGCACAAACACTTCCAAGAGGAATGAAAACTGCTCAAGATAAGGGGTATAACAGCTACACTCAGAGGCCTCAACCTAGTGAACAAAATCTAGAATATTTAGGAAAAATTTAGAAAATCCAGAAAAACAAAATCTTTAATATTTTAAGTGCTGAGTACACTGCCCTATTCCTTAGGCCAATAGACTGCCATCCTAAATTATCCACCTTTGCCACATCCCAGAAGCTTGTGCAAAACACTGTTTAACCTATGGATGCAGCAGGGCACAAAGCCTTTCTTTCTTCCTGTGGTTCTTTAAATTCCTGCACGAAATCCAGGCATTCACTAGTACTATGATACAGTGAGATCATGGTACCTCTTGCTGTACAACGTGGATAACTGGGAATGAATGCTGATATTCAGAAAACATGGTTAAAATTAATTGGATTAATTCCCAGCAAAAAAGTAATCAGATAAATAAATTAAAAAATCTACAGTGCACTGAAATTATACTGCATTTCAAAAAGCTACCCCACATATTCACATTTTGAGACATCCTTACTAGGTTAAGACACATTAAAATGAAGTATTTCCCATTAAAGATGTCAAGAAACGGGATTTAGTTTTATTGCATGACGTTGCATAAGAAAGTATATTATTGAAAACTGTAAGGCATCATGCAATTATCCGTAAGCTGATTCATTACTATTCTTTGAGAGGTGGTTATACACTCTACATTTATAAAACCAGTTTTGAAAAAAGTACATAAAAATTTAACATGATGAGCATTATATATGACCAACAAGTCTGCAGAGTTGAGCTGTTAAAAAGTGCATTTAAAAACAACAACATACTGAGTTAGAAAGTCACTGTCACACAAAAAAGGACTGCAGACAAGAGACAAGCTATGAATCCCAAAAGAAAGTGGTTTTATAGGACTAGAGACTAATGTTACAAGATCCAAATTGACAAACTTGCTTAAAATCCGTTTTCAGTCTTTACACTTAAAATTTAACACAATTGATACAATAATAAAAAAAATACGCTATTGTAACCAAAGTCTATTGAGTTCAAGTTATGTACACTGAGAGATCAAATAATGAACAGGCTTGGGATAGTATGTACTAATGTGATTTTGGCATTAATCAATGTATTGTGCCATCCAACGAAATCCTTCACCATAGCCTTGCCTCTTTAACACACTGCACATGAAGACTTCTAAGGGTCGGGTGTTCAATTCTTTCGCTGAAACATTCCCCTGAAAATGACATAAAAAGAAGAAGGTGGGTCAATAAATTGAAACTCAATCTTTCCCATTCTCTGTACCTTTTGAGCCTCAAGTAGCTAAACTGAATGACTTCCTATCAGTTGAGACCAATATGGTGACCGCAACCCTCTTCTGGCCAGTTCTCCAAGCCCTGTTAAAGATTGCTACAGTAATCCAACCTAGAAGTTGGGTAGGGGGGCTATAATTGAAAACAATTCAGCCTTATAGTTCTTTTCACCTCTACCCCTCTCTTCTTTGGGACTGTCTTCAACAGTTAACACCAGGCTTCCTCAACCTCGGCCCTCCAGATGTTTTGAGACTACAATTCCAATCATCCCTGACCACTGGTCCTGCTAGCTAGGGATCATGGGAGTTGTAGGCCAAAAACATCTGGAGGGCTGAGGTTGAGGAAGCCTGGTTAACACACAACTGCCTTTTGTTTTGCTTTCTCAATAAAAACTCATTTTCTGGGAAAACTCAGGTTCCATCTCTGTTGCAACCACCCTGCAAGTACCTTACAAGGGTGATCTGCTACCTATGCAGTACTGCTGTATGTTTTGGTTCTGTGCTAGTATTGAGGCCTCTCCACTATACTAACAGGATTTCTCGCCTCTAGCAGAATAAAGTGCAAAGAGTTGAACTAGATGACCAATGGGACCCCTTCCAACTTTACAATTCTATGATTCCATGAAGACACAACCACTGAGGGAATAGGTTCCCCTAGCGCTAGAAGGCAATGTCTTTCTCTCCATTGTCATTCATGTTCAGGGAGGGCTTATTTCCTCAGCATAGAAAAGTAGGTTTCAGATGAGTGGGTGGCAACATTTTCAGAAGCACAAGAAATAATAGAGAAATCTGCTTCTGGTATTCAAAGTTGCCTACTGTAAATGACACAACCCGGGTTATAATTATATTTAATTAAAATATTTAAAATAAACTTTGTTTAAAATTGGAACCCTTCAGTTTATTGCTAGAGGCATTAGCAAGAACATTTCACAAGGCAACAATTCAGATTTCCATTAGACAATTAGCTCTAAAAATTCTGTATTGTATTAAAAGTACAGTTGAACAAAGCCAGCTTGGCTTTATGGTGAACAAGTAATCTGTAAAGGCTTACTTGTTAGTGGCTTATTTTAAAAAGGAATCTATGAAGTCCTGTAAGCATCCTTTTAAAAATGCATCTTGAGAACAATATGGAACCGACAAAGAATTACCATACTTTTCCATGTATAAGACTAGGTTTTTTTCCTAAAAATAATGTCAAAAATTAGGGGGTGTCATACTCTGGGCCATCTCCCCCCATTTTCTTAAATCTGAGTCCCCCAAAATAGGGGGCGTCTTATACATGGGGGCATCTTAGATGGAAAAATACGGTATATGCAAGCTTTCAGTAAAGCAGACCACAGAAACACTGGGGGGAGAAAATGATAGGCACATTGAAATTACGTATTTTGAAGCAATGGGAACAGGACAATTAATACCTTTCCTGTTGTCTGGCCATACAAACCGAACATCTCTCGTAGCCCTTCTTCGCTGATGGCTTCTGGTCTGTCAATCTTGTTACCAAGAATTAGGATAGGCACGTTAGCAATAGTTTCATCTGTCATAAGTGCCTATGTATAGAGGAAAGACACATGTGTTAGGTTTTATACATTCACAGACAACATACATGAAGTGAAGCTTCAGAGACTCAATGGAGAAAAGATGGAGAAAATTTTGACACCTTTAAAAATATTCCATTGAAGGATCTCTCTCACTCTTACATCAAGGCCAAAATATATTCAAAAATAGAGAGAATGGTCACATATTAATCAACCATAACATGGCTTCCCTTCATTAAACTAAACAAAGATTCATTAATTAACCAGGGAAGGAAAATAAAGCTTTACAGAACTGCATATTTAACAAATGTATAAAACCTGTAGAAAGATTCCACTGAGCACATGGATTGATAATATGGACAGACTAGCTACATACAAACGAATTGCATGTCGATGTAAATTAAGAATGGATAAATATGAAGAAATCTGGAAGGAATATTTAAGCGATAAGGTGGACAGTGGTGGGAAGTAGGGGGAGGAAAGGTGGGGAAATATTGTTAAAAAGGTGTAGTCATAGGTATATCAGTATTCAAATCTGAATTGTCAAATTGTGTTATTAGTGTTATCATGGTTTTTGTTGTATGTGTCTTTTGCGGTTGTTGTTTGTATTGAAAAAGCAATTAAATAAATTTTTTAAAACACACAAAAAAACAGTAGAAATACCAAATATGATAGAAAGCTGTGAAAATCAAATGCAATCTGATAATCCAGTGACGGCTTATGCCTAATGAGACTGGTGGGGCAGAAGGCAGGGAGACTAACAGTAGGTGGAGCCAGAGCCAACTAATTCTAGTTTTGTTCCCTTCATCCTGTTTTCAGAGTTCTACAAGGACAACCTATAGACCAGGGGTCAGCAACCTTTTTCAGCCGGGGGCCGGTCCACCGTCCCTCAGACCATCTTGTGGGCTGGACTATATTTTGAAGGGGGAAAAAATGAACGAATTCCTATGCCCCACAAATAACCCAGAGATGCATTTTAAATAAAAGGACATATTCTACTCATGTAAAAACCACGCTGATTCCTGGACCATCCACAGGCCGGATTGAGAAGGCGATTGGGCCGCATCTGGCCCCTGGGCCTTAGGTTGCCTACCCCTGCTATAGACTACGGAGAATGAAGCTGACAGGTAGTACCACCCCTGGGGTGGTTTTAAATAGGAAGACCAACACTGGTGGGGCAATGTCCCATTTGCTCTTATGCACCAGTCTCCAGCAAGATAACCTTTCCACAAAAAGTTCTCTTTTTTATCTTTATTTTATTGAGTTGTAGAGTCATATATGATGCTGTAGCCATACAGATGCAATGCCCACCCTCGTCCCTGCGAAACAGAGACTCTCCCTCTTTTCCCCATCCATCAAAATGTCACACACTTCACTAGTATTTTACAAATACCAAGTACATTACTAACTCACATCAATTTCTTGCTTTGATTCAGCCAGTCTGTCACGATCTGCACAATCCACCAGAAAGACAATCCCATTGATGGCAGGCAGATAGTTTTTCCACACTCTGCGAGCTAACAAAAGAGAGTTATAAAGGAGCTGCAAGAGGAAATTATCTGTTATTCTTCTAACTCTATTCATAGTAACACCTCATTAAGGAGCAGAAACTTTAAAAAGGGCATTAGGAGATATATTTAAAAGCTTTTTTAAAGCCCACTCTCTTTTGTTCTACAGTGTGAAGTACTGGGTTTAAAACTGAAAAACCATATTAATTTTACTGCAAGAAACAGCCTTAATAGCCATAAATCCACTTCTAAACATGTGCTACAATACATGGCTTGCAGGTTTTAAAAAAGAATGCTAAACTTCATGGTAGAACTTAAAAAACACAACAAAATGGCCGTATCGCCATTAGAAATATTTATCTCCTAAACACGTGTTTATGGAAGACAATCTTACTTGGCTACGAGTGATCGCCAAAGAAGAAGATTTATCTCCTAAAAAAATTAAACTACCCCCAAGACAATAACATATTTTCTGTTTCAGCCTCTAATAAATTCTAGAAAATGCCCTCTTTGATCCACCGGATACCCAGTATCCACACTGAAGTATTTAAACACAAAACCAAGTAATATTTGAGGATCAGTTCACTGTAAGGGTGGGGGGGGTTGTATCCAATGTAGTCATTGCTATTGTGGAACTTCCTCTTTCTCTCCTTTCTTCCAAATCTTAAGAGCCTACCAAATCTGCTCTGGGGGTTCCCCAATCCCATTGGAACAGATTTTGGGGTCACAGGGGTAGGAGAGGAAGGGGGAATTCCATTGCATGAGCCGAAGTTGTTCCAGGAACACAATGAGTTGCATTGGATACAACTATTAACTTAAATCAACTTGATCAAATTACTGCCTTAACCTATTTTTATTGTGTATAATGAAAACAGAGGTGTTTCATAACTTTAAGCTCTCCAAAGAATCAGAGACTAATTAAAGGCACACATTGACTTTTATTTTAGCATTGCATTGAAAATTAAATGCTGCAATAATCCTGGACCTGTTAGAAAATTCTATCACCATAAGTGTAATGCACTGCTTCCATTCTATTAAGTACAAATATTGCAGTTGAAGCATCCTGTAGCTCACACTCAAGTCAGTGTGTTGGTTTTTCTTTATCTTAAAGTGGTCAGTGAACGGGGTTGGTTAATTGAAGCTCACAGGTGTATGTTTGCAGTTTGACCTACTTAGCTGCACACCTGTGATCTCTCGACTTTTTGCCTAATTAGAAGGGGAGTTACTTTCTGCACCGAATGCAGGAAGGGATGTGACAGGATACCGTAACTGATTATTTGAAAACTGTATTTAAGTTGATCATATGTTTTGTATGCTGCTGGTGAGGAGTGGTAATGGCTTGCAGCGTTTGGCTGTTGCATTTTCAAAATTAAAACTAAGCAAAGATATTGCGGACAGCCTTTTATTTCTACGCTTCAGTAGCTGTGCACACTCTGTGTTGATGAAAAAGTCCAACATCCCACACACCTTGCATGTGTATATAACAGAACAAGTAGACTACAGTAAAAATTTAATAAAATCAGGAATGTTTTCAGAATTGAAAATACACAACCCTCTTGCAATGCAGTAACTTTTGATGTGCAACCAAGGAAGCTTAACATGTTAAAAGAAGCCTTCTGCATGTTAGCATCACTTACCTTGGGTATGTCCGCCTAGATCAAAAGTAGTGAAAGTCATACCAGCAATTGTCAGCTCTTCTGCAGCTGCAGAAACAGAAAATACTATTTTTCAAAACCCTATCTTACAGCAAACTATTCTCTAGTAAAGGTAATAATCATACTGATAAACCATATTGCATTACAGTGGTACCTCGAGTTACAAACGCTTCAGGTTACAAACTCTGCTAACCTGGATGAGTTACCTCCAGTTGAGAACTTTCCCCCAGGATGAGAACGGAAATTGTGTGCCGACGGACCTTCGGAACGAATTAAGTTCGTTACTAGCGGTACCACTGTATAGAACAAGGTGATGAAACTGACCCTATACATGCTTCCTCGGAAGTAAATGCTACTAATCACCTGCAAGCATGCATAAGGTTGCAGTCTAACTCACACTGAACTGAAGAGTTTATTCTGGTTCCCCATTCCTGATCTAGTTCAATAGTCTACTAAAGTCCTGAGATTTGAAGCAGCACTGGGCATATTACAGTGGTACCTCAGGTTACAAACACCTTGGGTTACAAACATTTTGGGTTACAGACTCCGCTAACCCGGAAGTAGTACCTCGGGTTAAGAACTTTACCTCATGATGAGAACAGAAATTGCGAGGCAGTGGCACAGCGGCAGTGGGAGGCCCCATTAGCTAAAGTGTTACCTCAGGTTAAGAACAGTTTCAGGTTAAGAACGGACCTCCGGAACGAATTAAGTTCGTAACCAGAGGTACCACTGTATGAGAGAAAGGATAGATTGACTTACTTGCATGTAGTGTGGGGACATGTTGACCCAGTCTGCCATCTTTAAGCATATGTAGGAGAGTCGTTTTCCCAGCATTATCCAAACCAAGGAATACTAGTTTACCAGTTTTTTTGTACAGTCCTGGAAAAGATAAAAGTATTTGATGAGTAAGTACTAATTTCCACAAGTGTCTCATCATAATAGAATGTCTGATGATTAAGTTTTGCTAAATGCTTATTTAGGATGGAACACAACAATTTCCCTATCATCACATAGTCTCAAAACATTTACATATGTAAATACAGCCATGCAAGTATTCAAGATCAGGTTACTCTAGAAAAGATGGAAAGAGGATGACACCTTTAAGACAGGATATCATTCTAGCTCAAGTTTATCTGCTAAAACTAAGAGAAGAATGCAGTACAACAAGCCTAGGAGGCTCCATCTAAGATCTCCACAACATTTGGGAAGGGATCATAGGTCAGTGACAGAGCACATGCTTGGCATGCTAAGCTTCTAGGATTATTCCCTGACAATTCCAGATAAAAGCATCCAATAGCAAGAGATGTGGAAAACCTCTGTTTGATATCTTGGGGAGCCACTGCCAGAGTAGACTATTGAACTAGATCAGGAATAGCGAACCTGCAGCTTTCTGGATGCTGCTTGGCTTCAGTTCCCATCAATTCCAATTCAGCGTGGCCAATGGTCAGGAATAATGGGAGTCAAAGTCACTTGGGTATGTATATCTACATTATGAATGTTTGTGTTTTGATCCAGGCAGACATTCTCCTTAGCTGAACAACAAGTCAGCCCTCAGATGTTTCCTAACACATTACTATGATTATAATGCAATTATAGCTATGTTTCTAAAATGCCATTTTTAATTTAAGCCCGTTTGAATAATGAATAGAGAATAGGAGTCAACTGAACTGAGTTTTACTGAGCCAACTAGGCTGACCGTGAAAAAAGAAATGAGAAAGAGAAAGCTTCAGAGCTGAACACAAATCTTCAAGCAGAAATTGCAAAGATGAAAAGTGATAAAACATCTGTTGAGTTCTAAAAGTTATTCCTTTCTCAATAAGTCAATTACCCCCTCCTCCACAGTGCCTATCTCCTTTTCAGAAACATTTAAAATTACTAATCATGTATTGCTCTGAAGGCCTGCAGAACAAAGTCAGTTTTGAGTGTGCTTTTCCCTCAATCATAAGAAAATGTAGCCTGAAAGGCTAAAAAACAACCTTCCATTAGCTGCATCATCACAAAATGAATGGAAAATGAATGCGTTTCAGAGCCTAAAATAAAACATCCTAGCTTAAAATTCATGCTTTATCCATGTATTGATTTTTTTAAGGTGAATCATGGAATTATAGAGTTGGAAGGGACCATGAAAGTCATCTAGTCCAACCCCCTGCAATGCAGGAATCTTTTGCCCAATGTGGGGCTCCGGTCCACAACCCCGAGATTAGGAGTCTCATGCTCTACCGACTGAGCTAACAAGGGTTATTCACTTTTAACAACTTACCCATAAATGGTGAATTTTGACACTTGACTGGGAAGGGCCATAAATCCCAGGTGTCTCCACCTAGGGTTGGGAGAGACCAGTACCTGAAACCTTTGAGGGCCATTGCCAATCAGCATAGAAAATCCTGGACTAGATGAATGGTATAAGGCAGCTTCCTATGTTCTCTCTGAGCAGCTGCAGGGGATTTCAGAGAGCTCTGCTTACCCGGCAAAATTTCTGTACATCCAGTCTAGGAATAAAAGACGCTACCTTATACTGTATCAGACCATTGGTCCATCTATAGCCAGTGCTGTCTACACTAACTGGCAGCAGGATTGCTTTTTGAACTTTTGCATGCAAAATATGTGCTCAAACCAATGAGACACAGCCCTTCTCATGGTTACTGCTGCCCCTGAGGAGGAGGAGGAGAGTTCCCAATCCTCAGAAGCATGTAAAAGGCAGCAGGTGATGACAGCCACTAATGCTCCTCCTGAGCACCAGGGGGGCAGTGGTGGGAGTTCCCAGGGTGCTGGGGCCTCAGCTTTGAAAGTCTAGCTAACTTCACAAATGATGCTTCTCATACATAGACTATCTCTGTGTAAGAATTATGAACACAATACTATTTTAGACACATTCAGGATGTGATGAAAAGCACCAGCAGACCTTTAGATGAACTCCTGTGTGTCATAAAGATAATGATGTGACACATTTGCTTCAAAATTGCAGAGAAGCTCTTCACACTGCTGGTCCTAAATGGTTTATACAATCTATGTTTTGAGCTTTTGCTGCCCTGCTCTTCAGTTCAACAGCTTCTCAAATCGGCTTATGATGAAATTTAAAATCCACAATGAAAATCAGGAAAAAAACACCACTTTTTTTAAAAGACAGCAACCACCAAAAGCAGAACTTTTAAAAAGACCTAATAGCTTTAAAAAGCATGGGGGGGGGGGGGAGAATAAAAATCTTTTTCATCTCTCCTTTCCTCCCCCGACTTGCAACCAGGGAAATAATTTAAAAGTGAGGAAGCTACCTCAGAAAAGACCTATCCAGGGCCTGCACCAGATTTGAGAAGGTCCCTAGCATAGTGCCCTCCAGCTTGCATACAAACACCACCATTTCTGTTTCCCAATGAAAGCTGCCATTGTAGTTTCCCACAATTCCTTGGACCACCACCAGCGGCATAGCGTGGGTTGTCAGCACCCGGGGCAAGGCAAGTAATTTGCGCCCCCTAACCCGGGGCAAGGCAAGTAATTTGCGCCCCCTAACCCCTAACCTGCCGCCGCTGCCAGCTTCTTCTTGCCTGCTGCCTGGTCTGGTCTGGTGTGGTTCTCTCCCGCGCTCAGCGCTGCGCTGGGCGGCCGCTGCACTGTCCCTCCCCCAGATAGTCCCTCGCTCTCTCTCCGCACCGCACGCGTGGCACCCACCCCCTCCACAGTGGGCGGCGACCCAGCGGCTCAGATCGGATTCGCACAGCCAGCACTGCAGTGAGAGAGAGTGAGTGAGCCAGGTAGGGGCAGAGAGCTGCGAGTGCGAGCGCGCCCCCCCCCCAGATGTTGCGGCCGGTGCGGCCGGCCCGCCCTGCACCCCCCACGCTACGCCACTGACCACCACTAAGTCAGGGGTGCTCTGGGGTCATGCTAGTAAAGACTGTTGGGGATTTGGGGGGTGTAAAACCAACTGGAAGGTAACAGGTTCTCTACCCCTCCCTTAAACTGCATTTGAAAATATATTGGGATTTTTTTTTTTAAGAACTGGATTATAATTCATTCTGTTCCAGGCAGTAATGTAACTACTCTATTTTGAACCAACTGTTGTTTCTAAACAGTCTTCAAAACAACCCCAAGTACAATGCACTACAGTAATGCAAACAGTGGGGTTGTGCTGTGTTTGCAGATAGCTTTTGAAATATATGTAAGTATGTATGTATGTATGTATGTATGTATGTAAAGTTAAAGTGATTTATTCTTTTCAATAAGATGTATTTTCCTCCTTTAGGAGTTTACAAATGCACCATCTTAAACCATTTCAATGTCCAGAGCTGCAATCCCATGCATCTTTATTTCTGAGCAAGGCAAGCCCCATTACATAGTTTAAATTTACTTCTGAGTAAACATGTGTAATCTGCAGTTCAGTGCTGGTTTGTACAATTTATTATGTTTGTCATGCTAGTGAGTAACCTAGATAGCTTTAAGAGGCAGTCTTAAAGAGTTCATCTGTTACAAAAGATCTGCCCCTAGCAAAACTGCAGCTCATAATGATTTGAAGGACAAAGTTCGCTGCTGCTAAGCGTACTATGATACAAAGGTGCCTTTATTGCTGCCAAACTGGACAAAGTCAGAAGGCCTATCAGGGGTGCAGGCAATTCAGCATGGATAAGAGCATTTTACAATAACCAGTGGCAGTTTCAATCAATTAGAAAAGGTGTGTTCTCTCTTCAGGAAGACTTGTGAACAAGTACATTGTTAAGGCTTCGACAGGCCGCTTTAACATTTTATAGACCAAATTGAAAATGCTACTACATTTTAGTTTTTAATTGAGGCTTTATTACTATCCCCAATTCAAGGTATATATTTGCGGTACAGAAGCTAATTTATAGAGGCAGTGGTCAGTCTGTAATGAGAAGATCATAGTGATGATTAACTAGGGCAGGCTTCCTCAACCTCGGCCCTCCAGATGTTTTGAGACTACAATTCCCATCATCCCTGACCACTGGTCCTGCTAACTAGGAATCATGGGAGTTGTAGGCCAAAAACATCGGGAGGGCCGAGGTTGAGGAAGCCTGAACTAGCGCATTGTAGAGGATTGGACAAGATGACCGTTGGGGTCCCTTCCAACTCTACAATTCTATGATAGTACTTAGTCACTTGACTGTACTGCATGGACCAATGATCCGACTCTGTATAAAGCAGGTTCCTATGTTTTTATTAACAGCACAACACGTTTTACAGTTGGCATCTTTCAGAAAAGAAAATCAGCTCTCAGAAGGATGCTGCCCAATTTGGCAGCTGTCAAGCAGCTTCTTTTCTCACATTACCGACTGAAAGTATTTTGCTTTCCACTCCAGCTTCCCATGTTTTGCAGAGCAAGGGAGAAGAACATGGCACATGGGGTTATAACAGTGCTGTGTGTTTCTGTGGCTCCCCTTCCACTGCAACTGCCAGGAGGTTTATTTATTTGTTTAAAATGCAACAGGTAGAAACACAGGGAAAAGGAAGAGCATTAGTAAAAATAGGTTGCAAGGTTGCACGGTACAGCATAGGCTAAAGAAAAATTAAACCAGAAATGGAACATTAGTGAGGTGGACTGCCAGCAGATATGTATCATGACAGTTGATTGTATCCAAGGCCGTCCTTCCATCCACAGACAGCTCTCTGATCAGCAGGGGTTTCTTTGAAGGCAAGATGGAGGGAGGTATATTTTGCTGGTTTCCCTTCCCTCCATAGTTCTCTCTGCTCCCCAAACTGGAGGGTCCCACAAGTCTCTGAAACAGATGGGTAACTGAATAGAAAGGGAGAATTTATCCCCCCCCCAAAAAAAATACCTCTCCTGCTTCCATTAATGAAAGCCTTTGCTGGATCAAAGAGCCATCCATGAATATATGGACATAATCAGTGTGATGGAAATGGAAGTAATCAGAAGTGTCCATTCCATATGTAGATGTCTTACCTAAGAACTGTAGTACACTACTGAAACCACTGTAAATCCAGTCAAATATAAAGGACATGTCCAAATCTTGCAGGTTCTGAAAGAAATCAAAAGAGAAGCCCCATACATCAAATGGCATTAACACTCTACTGAAATAACGTTGAAAATGAATAGAGAACTGTGGAGTACTTGACAGAAATAACATATCCAGAGATAAATAACTTTTATTATTCAGTTGTGAAACCACCAATACTGATGCATTGGAATCTTAAAAACTATTCTGGAGAGGCAAACTTTCTGTTTTGATGCTTTAAAAAAAAGGGGGAAAAAGAAAGATTAAGGCCACATTCCATTGAAATGCACAACTAGTTCTTCATGTCCAGCAGGATTTGAAGTGTCATTTTTCAGGTCCTCCATCCCTTGTACTCGGAGTAGGTGTGCGCATGCATGAATGTGAGACCCATACAATCTGCTCACCTACAGCCTTTCTCTGCAAGAACAGCACAATGTAGAAAGAAAAGCTGCAGTCTTCTGTGACTTTCTGTGACTAATGCAACTTGGAGTGCTTGTGGGAACAGTTCTTCTAGCATAAATCTGTTCATCAGAAGATATCTCCAAAAGGCATTTTGAAGTAAGTTTTGTGGTATGCCAAGCATCTGTGCTACACAAAGGACTCAATGGGTATGTGGAAACCCCTTGACTTCATCTGAAATAACTTGGATCCAAGTCTACAACAGCTATTGTAATATAATGGGATCATGTAAAAATAAAAGTGAAGTAACTGTGTGGCTACAGTCCAGAGACACATATTTAGTGGGGTTTCCAATGTCTGCTAATATGGAAGTGCTCCATTAATGCACAAAAGTCACTTTCCCCCTTGTATTATTAACAATGGAGAGAGAACAGGATTGGATTCAGAAATCACAGAATCCAGAAGGCACAAACAGGGAATTGAGTAGAACCCAAAGCCCAGAAATGCCAGTTTCATCTTTTTCCAAATAAAAGCATGTATCTTCTTATACATTTGGTAACATTGCTTAAAATGTACACAACCAATTATACTTTTTAATCTCACTCTAAGACTAGCATTGGTTCCACATCCCAAACTGTTATTGTGGCACAGCATAAATCTAGTTTGGTTCCAGACTTCAATGAATGGTTCAGAAATCACCCAGAAACTGATACAGGAATCTACTCTGATATGGCAAACTGCAGATGAAGTCGGGGAAAAAACCCTTGCTGCAGAACTTAAGGTGGTACAACTGGAGAGGAGAGTCCCATCCATACAAAGACAACTTGATGAACATAAGCTGACATTCGTTATGATTGAACTTAAAGAAGAACGGATGAATTTGAGGACCAGAGCCCTATCTGAATTGGAAAAGGAAAGCTTGACAGAGTTTCAGGAGGCGACAGGACTAACATTGGTTGAGAAAGAGAGGTATTTGGGGGTTAGTATGACTGCCAAAAATGTGAATCTGCTTAAGGACAACTGTGAAGGATGTTGGATTGAAGAGAAGGGGAATTTGGAAATATGGACAAATCAGAAGTTGTTACTGTTGGGCTGAGTCATTGTGGTGGGGATGAGGGCTGCTGTGTTGCTGGGGATGTTGCTTTTGTTTCAAACATTGCAAGCTCTGGATGGGATGGAGGGTCTCAGGAGGTGGCAGAGGGATGCTCCTAGAGTTGTTTGGCAGGGCAGGAAGCCTCGAGTTAAGCTTAAGATATTGATGGATGCTAAAGAAGGAGGTGGACCTGCCCTGCCAGACCTTTAAACTTCGTTGTGAACCATCTGCCTTTTGCTGGTTGAGAGAATGGTTGCTTCTTGAAAACACTGAAGTGTTGGACAATGGCAGACGAAGTTGATGGACTATAGGGAATTAGTGGAAATGACTGGCAAGATCCGAGACCAGGGTGAAGAGTCGGTGGAAGAAGATTGGAAAAAGTTTAAAGACTATTTATAGAAATATGGTAAAATTAAGGAATGTTAGAAAAATGTTGGAATGAAATTACATGGCTTTAGTAGAAATGTCATAAGGAATTAAGTATAAATAGATTAATAGAAAATTAAAGGAAAAGTATGGCAAGAATGTGTTAAGATAATTATAGAACAGAAAACAGAGTAAGATGGAAAGGAATTGCCGAAACAAATAATAGAAGTGGAATACAAAAATGGAGGTGTGAGGAAGTCGCTGGAAATAAGTGAATGAAATATAAGATATTGAAAATGTTTGAGGTGTTTTTAAATTGTTTTTGTTTGTTTTTGCTTGATTTGTTATTCGTATTGTTTTCTCTTTTTTTTTCTCTTTCTTTGTGTTTGTAATGCTGTGTTGGAAATTTTGAAAAAGTAATAAATATCTTTTAAAAAATAAATAAATACAGACTTCAATGAATGGTAAGGAATATCACATCCAGAGGAGATAAAGAGGTATCATCTCTGCCAAGGGATTGTTGACCCCTTCTTTGATGTTTTACGAAATAAGAATTAAAGTGGTGAAATACAATGCCTTAGAGTTTAACACTCTTCCCTTCCATATGACAATTTGGAAGTACTTTTTGTGAATCATGATTTAAATTAATGGCAATTCATGTTTATTTAACTAGGTAAAAGACCTAGAGGAAAACCAGGTCATTTGTTCAGCGTAATTGGCAATGCTAGCAAAAACAATTAAGTAGTTCTTCCAGCATAGCATAATCAATTTCATCTAATTTTGGGTGGGACATCTCCATTTCAAAATACAAGCAATATGACTTTCTCCAGCCAGACAGGTAACACAAGAGAAGACATCACAATATGATTCAAATTAAACTACTATTGCAGCTTGATGTGTTGTCTGAAAGTTCTCAGAAAAGTAACCAATAGTGCTGAGTATAACCGGGGGGGGGGGGGGCATTGTGGAAATCATTAAGATTTTCACACACTCTGAAAAAGAGCACTCTTTTTGGCCATTTTTTTGCTGGGGCTCCAAAGGACACAAAAGTATTCACAGGAGGGTTAAACAACTGATGTATTCCTTCTTCCTCTCCATTCCATGTGAAGACAAAGCTAAGGACTTTGTTTCCCTTCTGTAACATCACCAACTAATTAAATCTACATGCTGCAGTGACATCATAGTGGGCACATGAATCATGACTGGCTGGGACCTCAAAAAGAGAACACACAAAATGGTTTTGAATCAGTGGGGCAGCAAATAGGTTCACCACCTAACAGACCCTGAAAGCCCATTTTCCACACCAAAAATATTCACCCAAAAAGTGTGTTACAGTAACTAATCAACATTCTGAGCATATCATGGTATGGAATTAAGTCTTAAACAGCCTTCAGCAAAGGGCACATCCTTCGAGCAAACCAAGATAATATCTCTCATTCGGAGGAGCCGGTTTTATTAGTTACAAACTAGGAAGCCTACAGGACTTATAGATTCTTATCTACTGGCCAGCGAACACTTCCCTCCAGTCTTAACTCTTAATTGTTTAGATTGCATGAGATTGGTGTACTCGTATTAGGGTTATACCATCCATCCCTTCCCTGCTGCCATTCATGTTTTGGGCTTCTACTCCCATCATGCCAGACCACTGGCCTTTCTGGGAATAGTTGTCCAACACATCTGGAGAGTACCAGGCTGGGCTTATATCTATAGGGTTTCAATGTAAAACTGGGAGGAAACATAAAAGTACAGCAAGTGTCCCTTTGTTCCTGGAACTCCAGAACCAACAGCAAACCGTGGTCCAGACACACTGCACAAAGCATCTGCATCATCCATTAAGAGATGAATTGGTATGAGTGCAGCCAGGCCTGAAAGATCCTTTCACCCTGAATGCCAACTAGAAGCACCACAATTAAAACAGTTGCTGGGGGAGCAGTTCACTATCACCACTGTCGTGTCTAAGGAAACACATGGATCCAAGTGACCCTGGCACTCTTCTTTCCTTATCACTGCACTGTCCTACTTCCAATCAAAATTAAACATGTCTTCAGCTCCTTGAGTGTTTGCATTTATAGCCTGCTCAGAAACAGATTGCAACACCACCAGGATAATTACTGATCAGCTTCAGTTTCCCTGATGGCACAGGAATCTGTGGTTACAACTTTTTATAAATGTTCACCCCTAACATCTGTGTGGATTGGGTCAGGTGATATGAGTTCAGAGTCCCTTGGCTGCAGTCTAGTGTAATCAAAACTTCAGTGATTCAGTGAAGGCTCCAATGTCCATTTTTGTGACAAGACAATAGAAACTGCGAGAAAGCCACATAAGAGAAACTTTAAACCTTTCTATCACCTGGTGTTGCAACATGGAGATAGATGGTCAATAGTTTTTTTGAAGCAGCCAGAAACTATATCCAGATCGCAAGGACTAGATCCTTATTTTCTCTTTTGAGAACTGCAGTGCTCAGTATTGTGCATGAGAAACATTTGAAAGAGGAGAAAAAACAACTGCTTCCAACTTGCTGCTTTATTTTATTAAAGTCCCTAGAACTCATTACAGCTCTCAAATAAACTCTGAACTTCTGAAATACTTTAAATTACCACAAACAAACTGCAAAGGTGGCACTCATGTTCTTTCACTCCCAGAAATGCCTATATACTGGCCTCTCCCATGAAAATATATACACTCACAGATTTGCAATACATCCACAATAGCCATTGGCCACAAATCTATCCCACTTACCTCATTAATATTAGCTATATGGAAACATAGAAAGGCTGAATAAGAAAAAAAATCTGTTTTACAACACTTCCTCTCCCTGCTCACCAGGAATAAAATAATAATCACCATAGGTCATCTGGTAGTTTCTCTTTACAAGTCTGGGATAACATCTTACCAATTATAATACAAAGTAGTCAGGGCAAAATTCAACAGTGGATCAAGACCTAAAACAGCTCTATAGGCACTATTATTAGGAGTGAGGAGCTATGTTTTTCCTAGATTCCTGAAGACCATTATTAAGTATCAAAAAACCCCAGAATCTTCTGTTGTTAATATAAAAAGCAAAGATCTATCACATGAAGTGTAACAAGAAAAAACAAATATTACGACCTATGCTGTGCTTCCCCTAATTAGAAAAAAACTGGCAACCTGTTCCTATGTTTACTCAGAACTAAGTACCACTGATTTTTATATGATTTACTCCCAAGTAAGACTGCATGGGATTGTGCTGTAAAAGGCTAGGCTAAACTATACAACAACTGATTAGATACAAGATGCATTACAAAGAAAACATTAAGGACAGAACATGCTCATCACATGAACTCCACATTACACAACGGCACATCTAAAACTGACACTTACAGGACTGAAAAGCAAAGGTCAAGAACAAGCAAACACAGCAGTACATACACGTCATCTGATTTATTTATTGCTTGAACAAAATACCGAACAGGGAAAGCTTCCAAGAGGTTTAGAAAAACTATCTACTCAAGTAACATACAAATCAGTCCACAGGGTGTGATGCAAAATAACTGCTCATATTTCAGAGGTGAAAATAACATGACTAGGCTTTAGGAAGTTGAGCTGGAAGGATCCTTTTGGGTTAAGCAATCTTGTAAATCAAAACAGAGGCCTCTGGAGATTTTATTTAAAGTTACACTTAAATGCAACACGCTATATAAGAGAGGAAATTAATATATTGGATTGAAACAAACTATGGAGGGGGAGCACAGTAGAGAAGATACCCAGCATCCAAAGTGGACATTTCTATTGCTAAATGGGAAATTACATATTTTACTGAGAAGCTTGATACTTAAAGGTAGTTTGTTCTTTTATAATTGCTGCCCTATGCTCCTTGCAGAAGGACAGACAGGATAGAAATGATGCAGTAGTAACAACAACAAAAACAATCTACAAGAGTGAAATTGAATATATCTACCATGGGAAAGAGGAGGAGAAAGAACCATAAAAGTGCAATAGTGCAGTACTATTGGCACGTACGATTAAGGATTTTGTCACCAGATATCTTTATATAAAAATCCTGTTTGGGTCTTTCATGCTGAGGCATATTCAAGCCTAACCAAAATAAAAGACATATGCAGTTGTTTGAGGAGAAACGGTTAAGTTCCCATATGGCATCTCCTGCATGAGGAGTGTCAGAGATTGCGGCACAGAAGGAAAGTCCCACCACAGCTTCACCGTTTGTTCATCCAAGTCACTCTAGGTTATGCAAGAATTCGAACCAGGTCTGGATATTGGGCCCACCCTGGATCTTCCATGCACTGTAACACTGGCTTCTAGTACAAGTTGTGGAATGGGTCAGGAATCTTCCACACCTCATCACATGAAGCAAACAAAGGGTAATGCTGCTGATTACCTATTGCACATTTCAACACTGTATTTGCTAATGTCCTATTCTAATGTCCATTACTATGTGTTCGGTGCAATGTAGCCTCCGCAGTGATGTTTGAGATATCCAAAGAAATGGATCAGCCTGACCCAGGTTCTTGTGGTTAAAACTCTTCTTTTCACTGAAGCTTGCACAGGTCAGATTGAGTATCAAAACCCCACAAAACACAGCTGGTGTTCTTTATTTCAGAATGCTATGGCTTTGCCATTGCTTTTTTGAAAGGTTGATTTCAAACCTCTCACTGCAGGCCAAGGATACAGATGTGATTTGCACACTCCTGCCTGAATACCTATGGCTATAACTACTAAGAACACAGCAAGAGGCAAGTACGGTAAATGTTATAGGAAATGATCTAGGAATAGGTGTCCTTTCACAAAGAGTATAATGTTTGTTGTTGCTGCTGCCCACACTCTGCATGGGGTGGCAGGGAGAAGGCAGATGCAAGAAAGTAACATTGCATAAGCATAGCCCACATAACTCTATCCAATGCCTTCTTACACTGTGGTCCTTGAAATTCACAGTTGTTCTACACTGTCTGCACAAGCACATGGAAACATGCACACACTTTCCTTCCACTCTACCATATATGCTCCCTAGCTACCACATTCAGAATGCGGAGTCATTTTTTTAGATCTAAACAACTTTAACCCGACAGGATCTTGCATACATTTTAAAATGTATTCTAATGCCTTTATGTTAGTCCTCAAGAAGAGGGCACACAGATTTAGGCAGCCCCAGTCCCCACAGCAAATGGTCAAGGATGATGCAAGAAACATCTGGAGGGCAGCAGATTCCCCCTTTCCCATTCTAGAATAAAGGGATATTTGAAACAGTGGCTTTCTCCAAGGCTAAACATCATAGTTTCCCCCTAGCCAGCATATAGGATGACAATTCTAAGGTAATTATTTTATAAACGTAGTAAATGATAACTTACTATTTTGGAAATTCCCCCCTCAAAATTATGATCAATAACTAGAAGAGAATTCACTAGATAACAGTAACAGCTTTGTTTCGAAATATCAAGTAAAAACTCCTCTAAGAAAAATTATGGAAAGAGTTAACATACAATCTGATTGCACTTTAGCCATTGTACTTTGTGCACCTAGAATTGTATAGATTCAATCTTCTAGAAACAGCTTGGCAAATGAAAGTTCAAAGTCTACTGTGTGACTCTGCAAGACTCACAGCAGTTTTACTGAACTTTGCATTCTAAGAACTGCCTGCATTTTCAACTAATTTTCTATTGATGATTGAGTTCTATTCCATTGTAAACTCCATCATAAGTAAAGCAGAAATATATTATGGTCTCTGGAAGCTAAGTAGTATCCAATTACCTTGGAGAACATGCAAGTTTCCAAATGAAATATTTCCATATAAATCAAAACTGTGATTTATGTAAGCCTTTTTTCTATGGCTATCTGGTTACAGTACAATGTAGTGAAACACTATTAGATAGTCATGCATTATTTGAGAGCTACCAAAGGGTGAGGTAGCACCTTTTATTTGAAAAACAGAAGCTGACCTGAACCTGCAGGCTTCTAATTCTACAAGCTATGCTAAGCATCTTTATGTAACTTCTGTAACTGAATACTGATTACCAATCTCTGATGTCTCAATAACCAGTTAAGTTTCAAATCCCAAGTACAATGGAATCCTGGTAAACCTTAACTGCAATTAGTGCTAATGGAGATTTTGGTAGGCTTCAGGCTGACAGGGTATGAGCAGTGACAATTCACACACCAGAACAGAAGAATTGGGGGCAGGGGGAGGTATATGTCACCCAGCCTGCAATGGCTCACACCCAGTCTCTTAACTATAGTTAAGAAATTGACTATGCTCAAGTAATGAAATTATATCACATACATCACTTCTGTTTCCCTCCCTGTCCTCTGTATCAACTTTTTGATTGTAAGCTCCATAGGACAAGGCCCATGCCACTCATACCTTGCAAATTACTTTTGTGCATTGATGAAGCTATAAACAAACAGTGAGCTCTAACTAGTCCATCTGCACCGTGTGTGTATGTGTCCCCTATGAATGAGCATAGTCATAGTGATCTATACCAATGGGGTTCAAATTTCTCAGACCTTCAGTGATCCCATTTCATATTGCTGTCCCCAGAATCTCTGCTCATCTTCCATTGAATCCTTGTGTGTTACTGTTTTCACCTAGTCACTGCCCCATATGTGCTGACAGGTCTTCCTAGAACACACACCACAACCCCTTCACAGCTGCACATTGCAAGGCAATACTAATGATGACAGACAAACTGTCTATCAGGCAGCTCACCCACCACTAATAATCCTATCACTGTGGAGCTACCAAGCTTTTATGGAATTCCAAAGTTTTGTGAACACAGTTTGAAAACTGCCACTCTATTATTGAAGGGCAATTCCGTAGTGACATCTGGAAGCTTATGTACATAACATTTGTGTTTTAGCTACTTTTATTTGAACTCCAATTAACATTAAACTATTTGTGTGGTAACTTTATTGATCTTCCCTCCAAAACAAAATCAGTAAGTATTTTTAATTTAAATACTTCCTTTTTCTTGTTTTTTTTAAAAAGATGTGACCAACATGACAATCTTGCAACCTTAAGAATTTACCTATAACTTTAATAATGTTATTGTCTTTAAAAAAAACCAATCAAAAAAAGAAATCCATCTGCAGCAATATATGTAAAAAGCTAATGTTTCACGGACAAGAGTCAATCATATGCTGATGTTTCTTGGGAACTGTGGAAAAATGGTTTTCTGTCAAATGATCTGTGACCACTATAACTTGTTACAATTCAATGACAGACACTTACTAATAAATGCCTCCAAAGCAAGAGCCTATGTATATGACATTTAACTATGCATTGACAAGTTGTAGGTCAGCATCAAGTCCATGTGGAAAATTGTAATGTCATTATTTGTTTCTTTTCAACCCAACATTTATCATCATTTGCAGGGAAAACAAAGGTCACAGAAATCCCCTTTTTAAGATGATGATTTCATATCGATGAATATAATCTGGCATCATTTGGCCAACAAATTTTCATTTAAATTTCTCTGCCTCAAACTTAACAACGAAGTTGCCAGCTGACACCAATACTTCAGTGGCTATTTCTGCTTCTGCATCCTTTCAGGATAACCACATTTTCCATAGGGGAAGTATTTCCTGTGCTTGTGGCTTGTTTTAAATTACCTGAAAACTTCATATACACTTTGTGTTCAAGCCTGTTTTCAAACTTTACAGGGTTGTACGGCTCCCTAAGGCAAGGCAAGATATCTTCAGCATTTTTTTTGTGAGGGGGATATATCTAAGGAGAAGATAGAAGCCCCTAGATGCTTCAAGAAATGGGGTGGGATTCTAGTAGCAACATCAATTCTACACTTTTCCAAACCACACCTAGTTTGAACTTACTAATAATTAACCTAAAAGGTTTTCCAACTATTAAATACATTGTCTCTCTCTTGAAAGCAGTAACTTATATCCACTCCTCATCCGACCTGTCTTTCAGATTGTAAGCTTCTTACAAAACCTCCATAAGATGCCCTACATGGTACAAATTTTAGGCCCAATAATTATTAAATTCTCAGGGAAGGAATTATGACAGTCCTAAGAAGGGATTTAAATGACACATATGACAACATATTTACGGTATGTACCATAAGTTGCACATTGTGGCATAATATGAGTCACAATAACTGTTGCATATAATATACATTTCAAGTAACATTTTATAACTATTATGCACTGTATGTGACCTGTTGTAAGAACATATGGCTGGGCTAGTAGAGGGGTGTGTGTGTGTGTGTGTGTGTGTGTGTGTGTGTGTTAGTTTTCTATGTATGGCACTCAACGTGTTTTGTCACTTTCAGACCATGGCCAGTGCTGTATGATTTGGAAGAAACATACCAGAAGGCTCAAGGCAATTATTTAGTAATCCAACCCCTGCCATTCACTGCTTAGTTTTGAGTAATCAGATGTATAGGGACACCTTGGGAGTAGTGTTGCAATTGTTTGGCTGCCTTGCGTCTCTATCATCTCTGTCTCAACCTTTTAACACAACTGCATTCCTACCTTTCAACATGTAAGCAGCAACCTTTCTTGAAGTTGCACTACTACAATGCTAAAGCTAAGAAATTATATAGGTCATGCCATGCAAACACTTATTTTTTACACATTCTTAAAAAGCTAGCCTGCTTCATAGCACTTTGTAGTGGTATATATGTATAACAGATTAAATACAATGATTTTAATGCCAATTAGATTCACTATCAGAGAGATGGTGGCACTAATGTATTCATTATATAATGAGGTGGTAATGGTGATCAACTAAAAGTAATTTAATACTGTTTAAATTTACCTTGAATGAATTTCATTTTTTATTGATTCATTCTATTTCACCTAATGCTCCTTCCACCCAAAAAAGGCAGAGTTAGTAATGCAAAATAATCTACACTGACATATGTCATCAGATTCTTAAATGTTAGGAAATCAAAGTGAAACTTCCATGCCTGACCTATAGTGACCTACATATGACTAAGATTGCAAAATTACTTCTTAGTAAGAAACAACTTCTTACAAATTCCCACAGCAGAACTTACAATTTTAAATAGACGTGTGGTTAATGTTTAGTGTACTCCAGAGTCCATTTAAATACTAGCATATTGATTTGGTACGCATTACATTCTACAAGTAATTGATGTTTTCTTTAAATACAGACCTCTTTCTTGTATACTATTTTGCTGTTGTTAATCTCTGAAGACTTCGTAACTTTCTACCAATGTAACACAATGCCTGCCTTCTTTTCCACATTAAATATTAGAAATATATGAAGCTTTATATCAGTGAATAATATTTTTCAGTTTGCCTTCTGGTACAATTCATTTTTTGAACTTCTGACACATGCATAAATTTTCACTCATTTGTTCTAAATTAATTCACCTAAAATTCCTACCACCAAACATCAGGTCCACTAATGGGATATCTGCATTCCTACTTCATTGATAAACAAATTTAAAAGTAGGAGCGTGAGTCTAGAAAATCCTGATTACAAACACTACATAGTTAAAGCATGTTCAGGGGGAACTAATTTGTATTAAGCAACCTTAATATCCATACCTATTATTTTTAACAAAGGAACACAGTCCCCAGGAAAAGCCTCCTAGCCTGACTTCCACATAAGAAGCATGAAAACATTTTAATGAGCTGGTTGAGTAATGAAATATGTTTTAATACCAGTTGTAGGAAAACAAGCAAACGGAAGCACTTCTTAATAGCTAAATTATAATTGTATTTGCTAGAAGCAAACAAAGTTCAATGGGATTTCCTTCCTGGTGCAAGTAGTGTTAGGATTGCTATCCAACAATACTTTTGATTTGCTTCCAGGGTAGAGCTGCAGGAACCAGTGATACTCCAGATGGTGCTAGATTACTACTCCCATCATTCCTGACCATTGATCATACTGGCTGGGGCTGATGGGAGCTGGAGTCTAATACAGTAGTATCTGGAAAGCCTAAGGTTCATCACCCCTACTCTAAGTGACTTCAGATGCCCCAGAAACAGCAGTGAAGAGCGGACAAAATATTAAACAAACTATAAGTTTATGGGGTATTTATCACTTCATGTATGTATTTAATTCTGTACAAAATAGCTGATGGGACAAAAAAGGTTATTATAAAAATTATGGTGTGTGCTTTCTCCTTCTCCCAAGCTGCTATATATACTACACTATAATAGCCCACCAGCACCAAGGCAGCAGTTTCTAATTTTCAATTAAGCCAAGTTCTTCCCATACAGCCAGTGGTGTGTCTTCTGAGCTTCCCACCACTGAGAATGTATCAGTATTAAGCCTTTTGTTTCATAATTATCAATTGGAAGAATTTGCCAACTGACATCTTATCTGAGAACATCATGTCCTCAGTGAGAACATGTGTGGCCATGGGCACAGCTTGCCAGCTTGGTCCAGAGGTGGTGCGCTTGGCTTGACCCGACTTATGTTTACGTGGGAGGTTACCTGGGCAAATCACTCCGAGTTCCGCATCCGTATATGGAAATGACAAGGGCCTACCTCACAGAACTGTTGTCAAGGGTGAAAGAAACAGAAACCGCCACACATTTTTTAGCTCATTATGTGTGCTATAGCAGTGATTCATTAGTGGCAACTTGATATGTGACAGCGGCAAAGGTTACTACTAGTCAAATCACCAACCCAGTTTCACCCTTCGTGCTCCCTGCACTGACTCATCATATGACAACTGGGCAAGGCACCATACTTGGTTTCCTTTCTAAATTGCAAGTGTCCTTTAGTTAGGCAAAATGCATGACAGCACTGATGAACTACGGAGCCACCAACATCTATTTTAAAATAAATAAATAAAAACCACCATCATAAACAAAACAGGGAAGAACATAAAGAAATAAAGAGGGGGGCAGGCAATCGAGAGACAGGGAGGGTGCGGGGGTATTGGGGGCAAGTGACAAAAGGAGAGGGGAAGAAACAGCACGAGCTTATTATTGTTATTATTTTAGTGGGAAGGGGAAAGAATCAGTGGGGCGAAAGAAAGGATCTTTTGCGAGAAGGGGCAAACAAATATCAGAGACAGCACTAAGAGCACAAGCAGAGCCAAGGGGTCGGGCAAGGGAGGACTGGGCATGGGGTGGGGGGCAGCAGAGGTAAGGTGGGAGCATATGGCTAGCAGGACAGACCCGGCAGAGAGGGGCTATGGGGCCGGAGAGTCGTCGCGGGGCTCTGTGGGGCGGACAGGCCAGAGGCGGCGAGAGAAAGGGGAGCCAGTCCCTGGTCAACCACCTTCCCTCCCGGCCGGCAGCCCCGCCGCCAAGCGCCACTCACCCGCTACCGAGAGCCTGGGATCCGGGCCAGTCCGTCTTCAGCTCCGCCCGGCACCAACACAGGAGCCCGAGGCCGCTCCGCTCGGCTCTTCTCCTCTCCTCCGCTCCGCCCCTCGCCGGCTCCTTCCTTCCGGGTCCCGTCGGATTACGGCAGCCGCCGGTAGCTGAGCCGCCGCCTCCTCTTTCTGCTGTGGATGGTCGGGGTCGGCTGATGGGGCGTTTTGCCTCTGGCTGGGTCCCCCTTGAGCATCCCGGCCCCCAACGAAGGCTGCTCCTGTTCCAGACGCTTCTCGTTCAGAAAACAACCGCCACCATCGCCCTATAGCTGCTTTCAAGGGGTCTATTCGGAAAGAGGGTCCTTTATGGGAGGGGGGTCTCTCGCTGGAGGGCTGCGGCTTCAACCCAAATCCGCGGTTACTCCTTCAGATCCTTTGTTAGGCAGGCTGCATCCACTTCTTATTTCCTCACCCTTTTATTATCGTTGGGTGTTTTAGGGTTCCAAGCCCCCCCCCCCCAATATTTACCACGAGGCCAAGAGCAACATTTGAAAAATGAGAGATATTACTAGATCTGGTGGTCCTAGAGATCACTAGGCCTTGCGTTGAGTTCTTTGCAGCGCAAGCCTAACCATGTCTGCTCAGAAGTAAGTCCCGTTGAATTAAATGACGTTTACTCCCAGGTAATAGTTATGGAGCAGGTGAAAGTGTTCCTGCTACCCTGGGGTCTCAAACCACTGTAAGTCACAAGAGCCCTGCTAGTATGTCTGGGTGTTGCTATTTTATTTTATTTTATTTTTTATTTATTGCATTGTACTTTGGTATTTGTATTTACTGTAGCTTTGCTATATTTTCTTTGTAGTAATCATTTCATCACTTTGGGGCCTGTGACCAAAAAGCAGTACAGAAAATAACCAATGATGATGGCTGGTTTGCAGTCCCACACAGTCTGTGCCTTTCCTTTTCAGGATCTCCTCCACCCCAGATGCTATGCAATTAGGACTTTGACATTGCCACATGTGTTTGTATGTTTGTTGCCAGGGTGTGGGAAGCAGGAATCCCTTTGCCTCACACTGTTATGATCTGGCTTCAGCTGCCCTCAAAATGGGACTTTCAGTAGGGAGCAGGGAAGTTGAAAAGCTCAGACACAACAGCCCTTCCTCATTCAGATCCTCTGGACTGTGAAGGAACAGGCTCTCAGGGTGCACAAGAAGGGTGCATGTTGTTGCCAGGGTATATGAAGCAATCATTTGGAGATGGGGGGGGGAGAGATGGGAAGAAGGGGGAAAGCAGAGGGCAGAGCCCATTGGGCATTTAGCTACCTGGTAAGGATAGCTTATCAGGCAACATTGGGGTGAGGTAGTAGGTCAAGTGGGGTGCCCCTGCTACCCTTTAATATACAATCCTTTCCTCGACGTGACTCACTTGTTGAAATGTTAGGCATTTTATATAATAAAACATATATAATTATATATATGTTTTTGGTCATGTATTGTTTTTTAGAACGCTGAATTTACACCCTGGGACACTTCAGTCAAACATCAAATTAGGTAGATTTCCAGGGTGCAAAGGGATTGTTAGCAACTCTGCAAAGGATCATAGCCTTAAGCCCACTAATTTCATTAGATCATCTTAACTGTGTGCTGAATTGTGGTTAGGATGTGAATATAAGTAAGGTCCAATTGCTATGTTCTTCTTTGTAAGCATGGCATATTAGCTGGATGTAAAGATAGTAATAATCTGGGCACTGAAATGCTGCATTCAGGAAGTCTTGGTAAATAATCTGGTAGTCTTATTTTGCAAAGTATTGTTTGCAGCATGAGAAAAAGAATGCCTGATTACCTTGATTCTTCCCATTGTATAATATTTCCTTAACTTTCAGCTGTTGCATAGTTTAAGTTTTCAGTATTTGATCAACAAATGTCTTCTGTACTCAAGTATTAAATAACTCAAGCGGTTGGCATCCTTACATGTAACTTTGTAACTGGGGCCAAGAATGGAATGCACTAAACTATATCACTCTACTAACATCATTCCAAATAATTTTAGAAAATAAAATAGTTCTGTGATTAGGAAATGCTTTACTAGGCAAATATTTAAAAGGGTTAGGTAACATTTGTATTGTTCAGGGCAATTATAAGTAAAATTAATGTGGTTTGGAGTTTCGTGCTTGGTTTCTCCCCTTTCAGAAAAAAAACTGAAAATACAAGGTAAATAAGACTTGACTAATTAATGGGATAGGAATAAAGCTTAGTCAGTGTGGCCTTGTGTCAGGGGAACGGCCCATCGCCCATCTGTAGAAAATTCAACATGCCAATGTGCCACGTTCATCAGAAACATTGTCAGGATATCGGTCATAAGAATCTAGCAACCATGTTCTTCTCTCGTCATTAAACACTCCCTCCATTAAACACAAAAAAAATGATTGTGGCCTTCCTCCACGATAGAAAGATTGCATCATGGAAACGACTTCTTTCATAAGTCACTTGCTAAGGATGCTTTTTGGTGTACAGTAAAAGCCAGAATGAATCTTGTTGATTTCATTTTGATAGTATCACAGTTTACCTTGTAAAACCTATTTTCCAACCCCACCCTTTCAGGTAAGGGATGTATTGGGACTCTCTGAAGCTGAGAATTTACTTCTTGTGACAGAGTTTAATCTAAAAAAATTTTAAAAATTGACACAAGAACTGCATAAATTCAAGCCTACCAGCGAGTTACTTTTATTTTTATTTATTAAATGTCTATACCACCCTTCATCTGAGGATCACTGGGCAGTTTTAAATATTAAAACCACAAAAATACATAACAGTAGCAACAATAAAAAACCAACCCCCAAAGTTTAAAAGGCCATAGATTGTTTTACTAGCAAAAGGCCTGGGAGAAGAGGAATGTTTTTGCCTCTAGTGTGCACTAACAGTCATTATTTGCTACTGTCTTTGTAATAATAGTGTTATGAGTTGTGGGTACAAGATTCCCCTAAATTCTTGGGTCTGATAAGTGTTAGAATTTAATCAGTGTTTGGGGTGTTAAATTTGGTCGCCAGTCACAAAATTTAGCAAAGTTAAAATACTGGCCAAACTAGCTTCCTATTTTCAGGAAATCTTACCATTAACCAAAGACAAAGGGAAGGTAATGGGCCATTAGGAAAGCCAGACAGAGGGCACTTTTTGCCAGTCAGAAAATGGGAGGGGTCCGTTACTCAACCCAGATTTAGTTTGGAAGACAAAGGAGAGTTTTGAGGTAGAGTTTTAGAAGTGACTTTAGGATTGGGTTTTTGCAGTGATGCTGCAGTCTGTGAAATGCAGCAAGTTGGCGAGAGGGTCAGAGCCATGTTTGAGAGCATGTTGGATTTCTGTTTGAATCCAAGGCTGCAGCTATGGAGGAAGCTAGATCCTCTTGGAGTGTGATTATGAGAATCTTTCCATTGTAGTCCAGGTTGCATATATGTGTAAATAAACCATATATCATAAAGACACTACAGCCTCTGCCAACCCTCATTTCCTGAATGAAACATGAACTCTGGGTAAGCACCTAGAAACCTCTGGAATCTTGCACCACTCAGAGATTGGGGTAGTGTGCAACAATACATATGTATATGCTTACCTTCAAACTGGCGTTAGATCACAATTTGGATGGCAGATGCAGAACATGAGGTGCGTTTACATTCCGTTCCATATATCTATAAAAAGGAGGCTGGGCTGGAACACTGTAGAGTCCATGGACTGTCATCCTCCCAACTGCTAACCGTTGTTTCTAGGAGGGAAACGCAGCACAAATGTATCTATTGCATTTAAATTATAAATCAAAACACAGTTAGCATAGGCACAGGGATTTGGCAAACACTGAGGTACATTCGATTAGCAGAGCCTGCAAAATTGCTTTGAGCCCACAATTGAGGTGTAGAGCAGGTTGGTGTGAAAATGGTCTTCCAAGTCAAATCCTGCTAATGCAGAGGTTCCCCACCACTGTACTTTCTCCAGAAAACATGGACAAAATATTACTAGAAACCACCCTCCCTGAAAAAGTATTTCCCAGACAGGAATATAATCAGACTTAGCACCATGCTTATTATACTTCTATTGATACATATATTAGAAGAGAGTGGAGAATTCACGTCATTGTAGAAGTGAAGGCTGACATTACTTTACAAGAAGATAATGGGTGGCAGTCATTACTTGATGAAGACATAAAAAGCTTTTATACTTTTCTGTGTAATGCCATGACTCTGAGGAAGGAACTAATGCATTAACACTACTAGGTATCTGAAGAAGTGTGCATGCACACGAAAGCTTATACATACCAAGAACGATTCTATATGATGAACATTTCAACGTATACCAACAGGCAAGTCCCAGAGCCTGCACTCCCAAAATAATATAGTGTATGTAACAGGGAGTAAGTAGGTATTTCCACACGATCTAAAGGTTTCTTAAAAGATATTGTAGAATGATTTGGAAGTGACCGTTTTGCCTGCAGAATGCAAAATAACTCATAAGCAACCATACTCTCAACATTTAGATATCTAAAAGAAATACAGTACATTCAAACACCACAGTCTATAAAACAAGCAGCAACAAGAACACGCCCCCCCGCCCACGCCCAAGCCCAAACACGCTGGATCTGGCTGGTGGTGGTTATTCGACGGCGGAGAAAGCTCACTCTGCACATCCTCAGAGATACCCTAATATTTGTTCGTCGCGCAGAATTACTGTGGGTCAGGTCTTGCATTGAAAATAGACACTGGCGAGCTCGGTTGCAACGACCTGATACAGAATAGACAGGCTTCCTCAACCTTGGCTCTCCAGATGTTTTGAGACTACAATTCCCATCATCCCTGACCACTGGTCCTGCTAGCTAGGGATCATGGGAGTTGTAGGCCAAAAACATCTGGAGGGCTGGAATAGAAGAACAAGGAAAAGTCCGGGGCAGCGCGCTCGCCGTCCTGTCCCTTTAAGCACCCCCGCCTCCCTCTCTCCCGGGCCGCTGCTCTTCAGCCATAAGCCCCGCCCACGACCCCTCTCGCTCCCTCTGTCCCCGGAAGTGCCACGTGTACGGAGTGCGCTTGCGCGGCTGCGTCCGGTTCCTTCCGGTGTGAGGAGGGTGAGCGCCTCCCCGCCCTCCCACTCTGGGCTTGGCGCTGGGGCCGGGCGCGCAGTCACGGGAGCCCGCGCACCGACGACCCTACTGCCGCCGCCGCCGCCACCACCATGGCCCAGCCAGGGAGACCCGCCGCCTACAGCAGCCAGAACGGGGCTGGGCAGCCGCCGCAGCAGCAGCAGCCGTACAGCAACGGTGAGGGAGGCCCGGCCGCGTCCGGGTGGGGTCGGGTAGGGGCAGCGCACGGACTGCGCGGAGGACCCCAACATGCCGGCGCTGACGCCCGTCTTGTGCCTGGAAGGGCCCTTGGGACGGGGCGCGAGGCGAGTAAGCGCCACCAGCAAAGGCAGGGAGGGGTGTGCGTGTTTGTCTAGATGTGTCTAATGAGGAGCGCTGGGTTTTCCTTCTCGTTTGTTAGCCCGCCTTACTGCTAGAAATAAGGGCTAGACGACTCACACGACTTTGGGAGCCTGGGAGGGTTTCTACTTCTTAACCCTGACCCAGACCTTTCAGGCTTCGTTTCCTGACCGGCTCCTGAAGTCGCAGTCACGGCTTCTCTAGTAGCGAGTGACTAATGGGGAAGTGCTTTGAGCAGTAGCACTCTTCTTATTATTGTTCAGGCTTGATTTGATATCCGGTTTTGGCTTCATGGCAGACCTTAGTGTTTTCCTGCTGGGAGGCTTGTGAATGGCGTGGGTTCGGAGCCCTGGTGGCACCCTTAAAAGCGAAACGTTCCTTGCCGGAATATTCGCGTACCTTAATACAGAACAAAAGGAGAAAGTGTCGAGTGACTGCTCTGTACAGCCAGCTGCTCATGTAACCTGTTAAAGGTAGTTTCTCGATTTCACAATCACTTGATCGATGGTAAGTTGCGTCTTCGGAATAACCGCCCCACAGTTTTTTGTAAGAATGAAGGGCTTGAAGAACACAAACTAAAGCTACTACCACAAGTGTGGTAGTAGCTTTAGTTTGTGTTCTTCATCTGCTACAAAGAATCTAGGTCGATCATGACCAAGAACTGCTGGTGTGAGTATTTGGATACAAGGTATAACATCGAATCTCTTTTATCTGACTGATTGCTCAAGTCTTCTTTTACTGTGGAACATAACTATAATCTGAGACTGGGTTGATACATGTCTGAACTATGCCCCTTCACCCACAGGTACACCTGCAGATGTTTCTGGGTTAAGCAACACAATTCATAACCTTTAGATCTGGTCCACTGTGCATTTATGCGGTTGGATGGGGCTGATAGAAAGCAATTGCTAAATATCTTTAAATTGTACTTGCTGGAAAACATAGGAGGGGAGAGTGCTCTTGTGCTTGAATCCTGTTTGCTGGTTTCTCACAGGCAATCACTGTGAGAACAGGATGCTAGACTAGATGGGTCATTGGCCTGATCCAGCAGGCTCTTCTTATGCACCCCAGTTTCAGGATTTCTGTTGTCTGAAATACACTTTCCTTACTGATTTCACCAGTCCTTAGTAATTACAGGATTTATAGGAATGACCACAGAACTTCATTATTTGGAATAATAAAATGCTATAGCATTGGAAGTATGTTCTTCCATATCCCTCCTCTTCCTGTTGCATGCTAGCTATAGCAAAAACATTCTGTCTTCTGTTAAGCCAGAGTTCCCATTACATACCAACTGGGAAACGCTAACTTAATGTCAGTCATCCTGGTTTGCTAGCAAACATCAAACCAAGGAATTATTGCTGAGACGTGTTGTGTCTAGAGTTTTGTAAACCATGGCATATAAAGCTCTGGACAATGCTGCCCATATGTCCCAATGCTGCCTCTATGTAGCAGCAGAGTGCTGCACGTTAAGTTCACATAAAATCAAGTTGCTCACTCTTGCTCATATTTCTAAACACTATCTGAAATCTGTGTAGCACCTTAAAAAGGAACATTTCTTGTTTTGGAATCAAATGAGGAAATAAGGTTACAGATTCAGTGTGGCATTTTGGAATATCTTCACTTAGCTGAAATATCCTTGAGGCCTCAGTCACCATTTTGAACTTGGTTTGCCTATGTGGCACTATGTTTATGTGGTGGTGGGAAGATCTTTATTCCCTCCCTGAAGTACGGCTCCTACACTTAAATAGCTGCAGATTTATACTTGAATATCTGCAGTTGAAATGGCTAGCTTTAAAAGATTGTTGTTTTATAAAATCATCATTTAATTATTTGTCTCATAAGAGATTCTAAATAAAGTTTGGATACATGAATGTGGCTTGTGTTTTGCCAACATCATGAATGGCTCATATAGCATAAAGACAGCCCTTCTTCTGAACAACTTGTACTCTAAATAGAACAATCTACAAGCAGAGAGTAGGCTGCCAAAAAAGTGCTTCTGTTAAAAATGCACAGTTCTGAACAAATTAATTTAATCATATGTAAGTATAGATGGCGTAAAGAAGTAAGTTTAGAACAAGCTGAAACAAGGAAACCAGTGGCCTGGATCAGACATAATGGGAAACATAACGAGCTACTCCTGCCCTTCATTTATTTATTTATATGCATAATGGGAGGAGATTTGTTTAGCAGAAAACCAAGGTTTCTAATTATGCCTAGAGAGGCCCTGAGGCCACTGGTATATGTGAGGGAAAGGAGCAAAATAGCAGGCTAGTGTGATGCTTCCCAATAATGGGAGAGTTCTTTGCTTATGGAATTAGGAATTGGTTTGGCCACCTCATAAGATGAGAAGACTCTCTAGAAAAGACCCTGATGTTGAGAAAGATTGAGGGCACAAGGAGAAGGGGACGACAGAGGACGAGATGGTTGGACAGTGTTCTCGAAGCTACGAACATGAGTTTGACCAAACTGCGGGAGGCAGTGGAAGACAGGAGTGCCTGGCGTGCTCAGATCCATGGGGTCATGAAGAGTCAGACACGACTAAATGACTAAACAGCAACAACATCTTAAAGGAACTTTTTGGCAGAGTAAATAAATACCCATCCTTTACACATGTCAGGCGTACTGCTGGCCCACATCCCTTTAACACCCATACCACTACTGTGCAAGGCCAGCAGCATAGCCCCAGTCATTATGTGAGCTGATGTTGTGGTTTGCTGTCTGGAAGGCCATGTTTAATTGTCTGAATAGGACCCAAAAATCTAAAGACTGTGTGTAAGGATGAATGTAGATGTAGAACTTACCAGGTCAGTTTGTGAGCTTCTGAGCAGACCTGAGATTCCAGCAAAACGTGCCTGTTCCGGCCTTACATGACACACGTATTTATTCCTCCACATCCTTTATACTCTAGTGATTCATTTCATTCCCAGAGAATTCTCATTGGACTTACCCTTGATACTTTGCATCTCTTGATGTTCTTACTTCGGCTGTTCTCATTTATTCTCATGACTCCTGGGACAACATATTCTAGCAGTGGGAAACCTCCAGCCTGTGGGCCCAATTAAGCCTGGCATGAGTCCCAACTTGGTTTTTGAGGCCTTTATCCACAAAACACACCCACATGCCCCACATCTCATGCAATTAGTGGTATCAGGTGTGAGGCAGGTATGGATTTGGCTACAAAGGAAAAAATGTGGGCTGAGGTTCTGATCATTGTTTTGGAAGTGGTGCTCCCTGCCAGTGCCAATTGATAGCTACTGGCAGGGAGTCCCATTCCGACTGGCTGTACTAGGGAGTTCTTTGATCAAAATAGTGTAGTTGAGGGGGACTAACTTTATCTGTTTGGAGCAAGCTTTGAATTCAGACCACTTCTTCCAAATGGTGCATTGATCCTTCTGCGGATGCATGCAGAGGGGGAAATGCAGTTTGGAGGAACAGTTATAGCAAACCCCTTTGAAGATGTGCTTCTCATCTGTAACCTGATATTATGACAGGTAGGTGGTCTCTCTCCTGTCAAAGTAACCCTGCCCGGGTGGGTGGGGAATTGGGGATCCATCATGATGAATGCCCAGTTCCCCACACCTGCCTTATACTGATACCAATCCTGTATCTTGATTTGAATTTTGTAATTTTGCTGTCTAGTATTGT